ATATCAGCAATAAGTTTAGTAGAACTTGTGCTAGATCTGACGCTACCATTTGTCAGAGGTCAGACCATCATTTTTCTAAATAGGTGGGCTACAAGTACGGTAATAGAAGACAACAGTGTTGCTGAGACTGCAAGAGGCTAAACAGCTTGGAATAAGCTTTGAGGACTCGACTGCACTATGAAAGCCAAGCAAATCTAAACTAAGAGACTCGGCTGCATGAATTAAGAGGTAAATTATTGTATAAACTGGGTAATGAAGTTACAGCCAATTAGAGTTTAAGGTAAGGTAGATTGATATTATGTGTAGCTAATAAAGCAATTTTACTGCTGCTGTTAGGAGAACTAGGCTATAATCAAAGAATTAAAATAAATGAGCTTACACGCGTCCCAAGCTTTCATCCGGGCTGATTTGTAAGACATCCGGCGAGAATGCGCGTCCGCGAGGTAGATACGACTCGCATAGTATCCTCTGTATAGCCTCATATCTGCATCCGTTAGCTTAGTAGTTAAAACATTTTTTAGCAAATTAACGCCCCAGCAGAGTTTTCTTTACTTTATCGGACTCAAGGACTCCAGAAACAATGAAGTTTTCTGCGTGTTTTGGTCACCTAAAGCCCTCTTATGGTAGACCTTACCAAACAGCTTAAACCTCAATGTTTTATTCCATTTTTATGCACTACATAACCCTTTGTTCGCTGCATCTTTAGCGACGATGTCGGCGACAGAAAACGTCATCCACGAAGAATCACCCAGGAAATCATATCAGACAACCGAAAACACACCATCGGTAGGTTTTTACTCTGTGTTCCCCCCCACTTACTTAGTAACAGTGTACAATTATGTATTAGGAAAAAGGCAGAATATAGTATGCTACCAAACGGCACATTTGCAACCTAAATAGACTGCATAAATGGATGGGCTCAGACAACTTACAGACGCTTGTCATCAGGGTAGATTGAATCACTAACCACTAAGCCATTACGGATGCACCTGTGAGTCATGTCACTCATCCATATCTCAGTCACTGCACAACACAAATCGAGTCCTGTTTTCAGTAAGACCAACCTCTCACTAACTGAGCTGAAAATTTATGACCGATTTGCATGCCACTTGACTATCTTTCTTGTTTTCTTAAGACTTTGCTCTAGGGTTAATTTGGCACATAACTTCGTTTGCACCCACTCATCCCCCACATGCACACATACACATGACAGTTCGGCTGTTGGTTTCGCTTATTTCAACCGTGTGCTCCACAGCAGGCTGCTGCAGGGACGGGGACTTGCGCGTGGATTAGTTTGAAGTGGTAGCAGACTTGCGAAGCACCTACCGCATTCAAGAAGACCTGGAGAAGGGATCGGAAGTATTTGGCTGGCGCGACTGAAGTCGCTCCTACGGCATTTATTATCGGCACGCAACCCGAAGAAAGCCTGTTGTACCCTTATCTGACCCCCGTGTTGGTCTATCTCATCTATCACGTGGCCCGTTTAGGGGGCACACGCACGCACACACTAATAATCTGTGCTTCATTATAGCTGAATTCCGGCTCCTTGTGCTTAGCACACAGCTTAACTACACATGTTCAGCCAAGTGGGAGTCACGACACGCGTGCATGACACAGGTGCATGGCGGAACCAGACAAACCACACGCGCAGCGCTGCGGGTCCACGCAGTAAAAAAGCCAAGACTAGTGAAACATCCGGGTGGGCTTGGAGCTCCTGATTATGTCTGGAGTATGGTTAAACTGCTTTGGTGTAACATGATGCCGATTTGCAATGTGCGGCAGCTAGTCCGCCGTAGCTGCTGTAATTAAACTGAGATGTGCATAATAACCTTAGGGCCTGAACAC